TGAGACATTTTGTTGGCCATCCATAAAATATAATGGTACAAAAAATCATGGTTATCACAATAACAATAAAATAAGGGAAGAAATCTTCTAGTTGGCCTATTGGGAAGAAATTGGCATGTCCAAGACTGCTTTAATGTTGAATTACATTTTATAAGTAGCATTCTTTTAATGACTCTTTATGAAGGAAACAATGCACAGGTGTAAAAGTAAAAATGAGACAGTCCACAGCAGTGGTTAGACAGCACTCTGCAAAAATATAATTGCTTTAAAAAACCATCTTTCATTTACTAGATCTTTGATGTTGTTTGGGAAAAAGTCTGCATTTTTCTGGATATTCTTTAAGAGTTTAGTGGCTTTATTTAAATTCAGTGAAGACACTGTCTTCCGATTCACCTAATTTCTCTTTAAGACATTGTTCTACCCTTGTTGTCCCAGGACAGTAGACACCTGTGTTCCCTGAGCTCCTCCCTGTGACTTCTCTGTCCACATGTTAGAGTAATCTGCTTTGTGCAATGAGTTTCACTCATTCATAGCTGGTGTTACATATTTTTTCTGCTTTTAATTATTTTTAGAGTAGAATCACTTAATACATTTTGGAAATGCCAAAAGGAAATAAGATATATTGTAATCTCCTTCCATCCATGGCTGAGCAGATGTCAAAATTCAACACTACAGAAAAGTAGACAGCATCAAAGAGCTTTTAAAAGCTCTTAAAACTCTTCAGCTGCACTTTATTTGGAACTACAACATTACAAGCCATGCTATTAATGACAGTGTATGTAAGATAGTTATAGAGAATGTCATTCAATATTAAAGAACGAAATAGTTTGGTTCTCACGAGGGTTCACAGAAGAAGCATAAGAAGTCTTCAGTTCTGCTGCTTGTTATGTTTTAAGCTTTCTGAGATGGTGGATCAATGGATGGATAACTGAAGCAGAATTTATAAAAACCTAACCCTGTCCCTTCTTTCTTTATCACAAAATAAAATTAAAATGTGTAAAATCTTAATGAAATGCCCAAAGTCAGAGATCTGGTTACTGATGGAACTGGGCATAATTTGATGCAATAAGTGTTTGTTAAAAATGGTTCACATGGCAATGAATCTTTGTTGTTAAGATGTGATCTTTGAAATTTACCATCTTCCTCAAAAGCCAAAAAAGTAGGTTGGATCATGCTTACATGCTTATATGACCAAGAGTTTTAGTTTGCAGGTAGGAGATCATTATGACTATGAGTCAAGTGGAAATGCAAGACAGAGTCAAAATAAATATGTCTCTTTCTATAACAAAAAAATAAAGAATGAGCAGGTATGCCTCCCTGTTTCTAAACAACTGACAATCAAAAAATAACTTCTGATTACATTAGGGTGTTAAGAAGTGAACTGAAAATTGAACAAGATTCACCAGATTCCATTGCATATTTCAGAAACAGAGGCATTTAGAAGCAGCTCAGGAAATTAGATAGCTAGATAGATAGGTAAATAGATAGATAGATAGGTAGATAGATAGATTTTTTTGGCAAAGTAGCTATGATAACAGTAATGTACTCTTTTTGTAGGTGCTATATATTCTAACTTTTGAGATGGCAGACTTCTAGTCTTCCCATTATAATCACACTAGATTTAATTCCGCCCTTTTCAGCTTGTAGTAGAGCTATATAGTACTATTTAATTCAGTGCATTTATATACCATTTAAGGTTTACCATTATATTCAATAACTTTAATGTTAATGAAAGAGCTTCTGCACTTAAAATGTATAAATTTTTTTACATTTTAATTAGTGAGGCTTGGGACTCTACAATATGTGATTTTCCACATAAAGAAACTGTGATCAAATCTATTAGCTCCATGGACCACATAACATTACAACCACAGACCACAACCTCCTACAATTAACTGGCCTACATATGTAGGCAGGGACCCTGGAAATGAATCACAGAGCTGGTAGTGTGCATCTGGCTATCAAACACAGAAAGAAAACTTCTCTACGTGGACTGCAGTGTCAATTTCAACTAAGTACAACAACCTCTGCCAGGAGTGAAGGAATGAAAAATAGGGGAATAATGGTTTGTAATTAACTACAAGAACCCTACGTAAATTAAAAAGTAAACAAAGCAATAAATTATAGTCTTTCTGAATTATTTATGTAATAACAAAGTAGGAAAATTATGCTTAATGTTCCTTCTCCTTGCCCTTTATTTTTATAAAAACTCTAAGCTGTATCAATTTCAAATTTTAATTTGCCCTTGTATTTACCTTGTTGCCAGGTGTGATTTATGTGACTTCAATAAAAGGCATCATGCTTCAGTAAACACTACACAAAACGGCAGAAAACAAACTCTACCAGGATGAAAATATATATTATAATCTGAAATAATTATATGGACAGATGTCTGCATATTCATTTGTGCTGGTGATTTACCAGGGAGGAGACTTGCAGAACGCAAGGGGGAAGTGTTTGCAGAACCAGCGAATTCCCAGAGGAGGCACTCGTGTATTGCAGGTTACAGCTCGATCTGCTCTGCTTGTCACAGGCTGTGTCACACACAGGACTCTGATCACATGTCTTCTTTCCTTGTCCTCACTTCCCCTCTATCACCCCACTGAGGATCAGCCAATTCCTTCATCGAAGGAAGAACAGCTTTCCTTCCACAAGTCCCTCTGCAATTAACTAATGTATGTTAGCTATTTTAGAACTTTCTGAAACTCTTAATGCAAGCTAAGTCTTTGAAGCCTTCCAAATCAAATAAAAACATTTTTTTCTTGTGAGAGAACCGTGATATGATACAAGCTGTTAAACCAATAAATTTAAAACCTTATAAAATCCAGGAAAATTGGAATCACTCAGCAGTAAATATTCACAACATAAAGCAATTCATGAGCTTAGTACTTGGTAAAGAATTTCTGAAAGATCTGACAAAGTATTTGGCTCAACACGAAGATGTATTCACTTCTTGAATATCTGAACACATTCTGAGAAGTTTGTATCAGCCTTACCGCTTGAAAATGCTGAATAGGGAGACTGGCAAACAAACCATGCCTGAGAGGAGACAGTGGTTTGATTTTTGGACTACAGAAGGCTGAACAGTGGCCAAGAGACTGTGCTCTCGCCTGCTCTTCCTCATTGGCCAGTGAAATTCAGAGTCAATTCAAGGGTAGATTCAGTCATACAGATGCTTTACAAGCACCCTTTCACAAGAAAGGGGACGCTCTCTCTAGTCAATAAGCAGACTGAAGAAGAGTTGTGAGTCTGTCACCTGATTGTTAACACAATTCTAATGTCCTATTGCAGCCCTTAATTACAATAGTACCTTATGTTGTAAGTGCACAATGCCCTTAATAAAAGCTGCAAACCTTAGTGGTTTTTATGAGGGTGATGGGCTGTTCTGCTGATTATTATTTTCTTTATTTTTCTTTCCGTACACAGCCTTTCAGCAAGCTTTACTGAGTAAGACTATTAACATATGGGTGCTACCTCACTGCTTCCACCAACACACTCCACGCTATGCACTAACTTATCAATAGGCTACTACAAGGTTGCCACTTTGACCTCCCGCCTCAGTGCTCTTGCTTCCTCATCCATACTTTTGCAAAGAGCTCTAACAATGAAAGGTTTATCAATGAATTTGTCCTTTAGATAGAGTAACAAGGAAAGAAGTTGGATTGAGACAAAATCTCACTATTCCTTTAGAAAATAAGTAATTTGGAGTGAGTTTGTAAAAGCTTCACATACAAGTACTTTCCCCCAAGCTCTTTCCCCTCTAACAACTTGTCCCCACAAAGACACTCTTAAAACTATTTTGACATCCTGGCAGTGTATCTGTGCAAACTTCTTGTTTACAAAGGCCATTGCTGTTCACAAACTCTCTCAAAATAAGTATTTTTGTGCTGCTAATCGGATGTTTAAACTACATAGCAACGTTTAGCAAAGGCCAAAAACTGATGTTCAATTTTTCTTTTCTTTTGTACAAAATCTGCTCATTACTTTGCCATGAAAAATGATCTGAACACCTGCCTGGCAAAAGAAATTATGAAGGGTAAGTCTTACTTATAGACAATTCTCTTAACAAACGATCTAACAGGCAACATATTCCTTGCAAAGTAGAAGGTGTTTTAAGAATACTCATGGTTCAAATCGTGCATCTCTGAAGTCCTGAGACACCGTCTTTGTGGTTTCTCAACAGTTTGCCATTTGCCCAGAGCTAGGTGAACTCACTGCCAATCTCTACTCACCTGAACTATGACATCTAAGAACTCCGTGGGGTTAACGATCTAAAGCGTGAACGCATACAAAACAAAGGTCCTTTGGTATTAATCCACGCGGGAAGTACCAGCAACTAGCCGTGTGCCCTGTGCACTCACGGAGAAGTCCACCAGGCATTCGGAGAAACAGGGCACCCTTCGCCAGCTCGCACCTAAGGCACAGCCAGGCGGAGGGGAAGGAGGACGCGGAGCCCAGGCAAACCCTGCGGATGCACCGTATCAGCAGAATACTAATTACAGAAGAAAGCAAAGCAACCTTAGGTGAGTTCCACCTTCACGAAAGGCCAGATGGTTCAGAGGACTCCTGCGCACACAGGCGTATACCCGCGTCGAGCCTCAGACCTCTGCAGAACCCAGCGGCACAGGCTGCACGGAGTTGTGCCCCCATCAGTCCGAGGTCAAAAGCGGGGCCCCGCTGTGCTCCTCTCGGAGGAGAGCGGTCCAGATTGTGTTTACCGCTGCATCTGAAGAGTGCTGGGATGTGCTCTTACCCTAAACTACTTCTCGCGTTGCACCTGGTGTCTGTCAACACCGCTTTCCGGGCCAGGCGCCCGCAGCTCCATCCGCACGCCTGTCCTGCCTTGCAGAACAACGGCTCACGGCAACGCACAGTAACTTGGGAGCGCCCAGGGAAACTCCACACGGATCCCCCCGCCCGCCTTCTGCTCGCCCATCAGTCCTGCTTCCACATCTGCCCAGCGGCGCCTTCCCCAGCCTCTAGCAGGCAGACACACTCACCTGGGGCCCCGCTGCCCTCCGGGAGGCGTCAGGCGCTAGGAGCCCAGGCGTTTGCATCCGAGAGGACGCGTGCACAGCGGTCGGGCGCCACGGGGGCCTCGGGACACTGCGCGCCGCTCCGCGCGCGGGGCGGACTGAGGGCACCTTCTTGGCACCTTCTCCGGCCCCAGAGCACCGGCTCCTCCGCCAATCGCAGCCCACTGTGCAGGGCGCGGGGCCCCTGCCCGGGCCTCAGGCGCCGGGTCCCGCGCTCTCCCCGCTCGCGCCAGCGGCGCAGGC